TACCTAGAAAAGTCATTTATTTTTGGGACAATCTAATATTTGTATCCCTATTGCTGATTGTAATTCGCGGTTTACCTTCTCTACATAGAAAGCCCGATTTTTTTTTTACATTTTTGCGCTTCAGACTTCGACTCGTTTCAAGTTCATGAGCGTAGAAAATTGAATTCTTATCCACCTCATTCTTGTCATGGTTGAATCTTTTTTTCTATGCATCCTTGATTCCCGGGACTGCCTTAGATGATTTTACATATCCGATGACGAGCACTTCCCCGATTGAGCTAATTTTCTTATGATATTAGCATAAACTCATATCCGGAAATATGTACACGAGGCCATTGATAAACTTGAAGTGCTCCTATTTTTATTGATGTCAGAAATTCTTCCAAAGCCATTGTTGCTTTAATACAGAATGTTTGGAAGGTTTCCTTGAACACTTCGGATTTTTGGCACTTTGGCATTGGCATTTTTTTTTTGCTCCTGAGCTCGTCTGTCTCAAAACTGGTACATTTCAGTTTCTCACTCTTCTATATTTCTGTAATCTAATCGTTTTTAAAAATATCTGTTAATAGCCTCTAATGTCTTGTGATGTGTTAAAGAGTTGCTCAAAAAGACATTGTGATGGTGACCTAATAGTTTTTGATCCTAGTATCATAGAGCTCAAGTTGATGCAGTAATCATGAGGCAAGAAAACAATAATAAAAATTTTGTAAAAAAATCGTATTTTCTTCAAGCGTCTGATTGTTCAACATGTTCGTCGAGCTTCAGATAGCTTCAGTGAAGAAATAAACTGCAGCAATGGTTAATTGCTAGTCTCCGTCAATGTCCAAACCAGGCTAAAAACTGTTAGATTTAGTGCGCGAAAAGGTGGATTTGCAAAGTTGTTTCACCTACGTATCATAGCGATCACATATTTTGGTGAAGGGGTGGGGGGTGCTGGGAGAGGAAAGAGGGCCATTTTCTAAATGGAGGGCATCTTGTCAACTTGTATTAGAAATAACCTTTCTTCCGTTTTATTTATCCTCCATTTCAAATTAGCTCCATTTGCAATTATTTGAAGAGGGATGCCATGCTTTTCTGATTTATTTGGGACTTAGATTCTGCTATATTTGCAAGTGAAAAAACTTTGCTCAAATGTATGGCTAAAATAAATACTGCACCAATTTGAAGATTATCTTGTAAAAAAAACAGCTGTTAGCGAAATATTGCACATCAGTGGCCCCTTTTACTACAGTGCTGGCCATAGCTATAAAGCCACCCTAAAAATCACTGTAATTTGCTCTCTTTTGTTCAAAATTGTTTGAAAAGCCACTATTCTGTGTGCAAACTAACGTCATATCATTGACCAGGACGGCTCCCAATTCCATTGATTTTGGCAGGAAAAAAATTGAAAAATTTGAAAAAGGGACTTCCAAGGCTGGCCACAGCTATAAAGCCACCTCTCATTTCCAATCAGTATTACGTTTTTTGAACCTGAAATTTTTTGTGCATATACAACTTCAAAATATAAAACGTTTATCACACTTGGAAGCAGTCGCCCTTTTGAAAAGAAGATTCATCCTGCATTTTTTGCTTCAAAATGTATAAAAAGTTATGATGTTTGGAAAAACTGCCTTTTCACCGAATTCTCAAGCATCTGTTTGACTCGGATGAAGGTCCTAAGCTTCGCCGAGCCTTTGCAATGAATATGGTGAAAAGCGTAGGAGTCAACATGGCGTAGTCGCTCATATTGATAAACGAGCCCCAACCTCACTCCAGGTAGACGAGTTTTCGAACCGCAGAAATTGAGTTCTAATGCCCGAAAAGCTCTGTCACGTGCTCAGCACTTCGTTTATACAACGATAGGCTCGTGCACATAGCTTGAACGTCATCGCAACTCTCAGGAATTTGGTTCCGACTTGGACGCCTTTTTTCCAAAAATGAGTGGTGCTCTCTGTCTGACCATGGCACACTCTGACCTCTCGATCGAGCGGAAAAGCGCTCAAAACTTCAAAATTCTAGTATTCCTGACAGTTTTGTAAGATCTGAATTAAAGAGGAGTTCAATGCAGTAAAATTTGAAGTCATGCGAGATACACTGCGCACAACCGAACTGCAGACAAAGCGTTCTGAGTTCAGTGCTGCAAGTACGTCTTTGTAAAAAACCTGACAGCTTGTGCATGAGTACGTCACCATGCAAACAAGGTGTCAACTTCCAACCGAAAATTTTCGCGCGTCAGAAATCTAGTTTTGAGCCTCAGAAGTGCGCTTACACCTCGGTAAGATGAGGCTCGTTTATCAGTATCAGCGACTACGCCATGTTGACTCCTACGCTTTTCACCATTCTCATTGCAAAGGCTCGGCGAAGCCTAGAACCTTCATTTGAGTTGAACAAATGCTTGAGAATTCGGTGAAAAGGCAGTTTTTCCAAGCGTTATAACTTTTTATACATTTTGAAGCAAAAAATGCAGGATGAATCTCCTTTTTGACAAGGCGACTGCTTCCAAGCGTAACAAATGTTTCATATTTTGATGTTGTATATGTACAAAAAATTTCAAGTTCAAAAAACCTAGTACTGATTGGAAATGAGAGGTGGCTTTATAGCTTTGACCAGCCTTGGAAACCCCTTTTTTTAAATTTTTCAATTTTTCTCTAGCCAAAACCTATGAAATTGGGAGCCGTCCTGGTCAATGATAAGACGTTTATTTGCACAGAGAATAGTGGTTTTTCAGACAATTTCGAACAAAAGAGAGCAAATTGCAGTGATTTTTAGGGTGGCTTTATAGCTATGGAGAGCACTGTATATAGAAAACATCCTCTTATGGACAGGTCATTTGATGTCCACATTTCTAATGCATTTCGCTGCATTTTGGCTGAATAACAAAAGTGGTTTCCTTATGAGTGACAGCAGAATCATGTGATAGAGAAAAAAGTGCATTCCTGCATGAGCTTGGCCTGCATTCCACTTTCATAAAAGCAAAGAAAATGCAAGCTTGAAATTAAGGATTTGTTAAAACATTTACTCACATCTCCAACCGCTCTCCTTTACTATTACAATTATAATTTAGCTTAACCTTAAAAGCTATTTTTCAAAGCAGAGCTTCATCTTTTCTAAACCTGGTCTTTGCTCCAACTCCATCTTTTCTTAGAAAAGTTCGAATCATATTTTGTCTAAAAAAAGCTTCGAATGAAGCAGTTCATGATCGTATTTACGTATTTGAAAACTCCTACAATTGTCGTAAGATATCTTTCACCATTCAAAGACTTGTATAATAGAAGCCTGTCAAGACGACTTTGCTCATAAGGAAAGTCTTTTTGTCGAGGTGGTGAAGTTTCCTCATGAAACCTATATCACTAGACGCGCCTTAAAACGCTGATTTCAAGTTTGTCTTCTTTTTTTGCGCAGTATCTCTCCGAAAGAAGTTATGGTGTTTGAAAGTCTAAATTTGCCGAGCCTTAAGTGACATAAAATCAGCGAAAAGCTGAACAAAGACATTTAGGCGGATTTCCAAAGTGTCTTCCTTCCTAGTAGTCAGTTTACTTAATAGAAATTTAATTACCTATCTTCAGCTGCTTTTGTACAGCTTTTCGCTAGCTTTGTGCCACTTATAGTATGACAAATTTGGACATGTGAACACTCATGACTTCTTTTGAAGAGTTGCTCCGCAGAAAAGGAAAGCATATTTGAAATCATCGTTTAAAGACGAGTCTAATGGAATAGGTGGGCTATAGAAAGGTCACATTTACTAAAAAGGTTTCGCTTGTTAGGATAGTTGTTCTGAAAAGATGATCTTTTATGAGGACATACTCATCTTAAGATTATTTGCGATGCAAATAACAACTCAATGTCTGTTAAGTAGTAAATTTACGGGATTTTTTTCTGCCGAGATTTGTCTCGGAGAGTTACATCAAGATTATTCGTTACAATTTCTTTATTTTCGTGGAAATTGTGCGCTCTATAACGAGGAACATTAACGTGACAACTTACCTAATGTAAGCCACAGCAAAGCTCGTCCTCCTTGAACGAAAGATTATCTTTTTGACAATTTTTCATAAAATTGGCATTCAGATCAATCAAAAAAATTATGGTTCATATGATTCATGGCTGAACTTACTAATCCATATAGTCATAAAGCATCTCTTTATCCGTCAAAGCCTTTTCTCACACAATCTCCTGAGAGAGATTAACACTAATGTCATTTTGTCTCAAGTATAAATTTCATACGAATCGCTCATTTTTAACCTTCTGATGTACATGGCTCTCTTGCTTGTGGCAGTACTGTTATTCCTAACCTTCAGTCATTTTTGTCAGAAATCTCGACTTCCTCGATTTTTCTGCTTTATTGATAAATCTACTGGGGACAGCGATTAATATCAAATTCGTAGGCGGTGATTTAGTCACTTACTTGGTAACTGCAAACAGTGTGAAGAGCCCTGCTGTAGAGACATATTAAGTAGTTAGAAAGAAAGAATGTGACTTTCCCAAATTTTTTCGGTTTATTTTGATTTCCCATAAAATAGAGCATCTACATGGCCGAAATTTTGACGTTCAAGTTTTGAAGGTTTAAAATTTTCGCCCATTCAGAAATAAATAAGCTGATGTAGCCGCTCGACAGGAAGATAGCTGACACAATAAAAGTTCTTTGATCAAAGTGCTTCTGAAATCTTCTGATCAGCTATACGCATTTGATGAACCATCCAACCATCTTTGGCTGAAATTCATTTCATTTAAAGAAAAAGGTCTGCCTTCTATTATCCGTATTGCTTCTTATACAACATATATATGAAGCATCAAAGATCATTACATCAAAACGTCTCTTTTCTCACTCTCTTGTGATGGAATACATCAGCCTTGCGCGGACAACTGGGACAGACTGCAGTATGTAGAGACACACAATTTGCACCAGATGCCCACTCGGGTGAAGCCTAAGGATTCTGCAGCGTCCTCTACCCATTCCTCCACAATAAGGAGCTGATCGAGTTTTCGATGTGTCACCACTATGTATTTGTCAAGAAAATATTTGCAGATGCGCGCTTTGACGCTGCTATTCTTCTTGGTCCTCCTCATTTGCTTCACATCGGCCGCATTGAATAAACGAGGTGAGTGTTAAAGCAATTCAGGAAGTGAAACTCCACTAAAGTATGATTTGCAAACATTGCACAGCAGTTCGCAGTGAAAGACTGTGCTTCTTCCAGACTGGTATTTGGATTGAACACAATAGTGCTGTTAGAATCATAGCTTGAAAACCTTCGCATTCGCAAGCAGTAGGGGTGACGACGCAGAATAGGGCAGAGTTTGTTCATATTGTATCCCATTCTTCCACTTACATTGGAAGCGATTACCAGCGCATTATCTGTCCTGAAACACTTGAGTCGTGCATTATCTGTCCTGAAACACTTGACTCGATAGGGACCACTGTCGCAAAATCGATAATGACCGCTATCAAGGATCTCGTCTAGCACATGCATGGATAAAACAAAAACACATTTTATAACGAAAATTTCGTGGAAAATGGTGGTTGCTATATGAACACAATGAATTAAATCGATAGATTCTTGCCTTAAGAAGCTTTTCGAAAAAGTGAGCAGACTCTACAAAAAAGAAAAAAATCTGTTTTCTTCCTTTCGACGCCAAAATCAGCTGTTCTTCGATTCTCTCCTTTTCGGGCCCCCGTATTGTGCAATTTTGCGCCGATTTTGTCCGAAGTGTTAGGCAAATTGATGTGTATCGTAAGTTACTCACAAGCAACTACGGGATCTTCTCTGCGTCTCCTCTTTTCCACACTATTTGCATTCGTCTAACATCAGTTCACGTTCAGTCCAACTGAACGTAGACTGATGTGCACGAGTTGAATGCAGCAGGTGGACGGATGGTCAACTATCAGTTCACTCGCCATGCATATAGCATGGGAAGGTGGGCGGTCACACAGTTTACCTGATGTAAGGTGAAGTGATGGGTTAAGTTCAGTTCACCTGAACTGATCGAGCTTTACTACGGGCCAATATCTAAAAGAGTAAAGATTCGATGTTGATTTCCTATAGATTTCATTTAGTGCCGACCGTACTTGATTTGTAGAGATAGGAAGCGTACTACTTGTTACAAAACTGCTTGGCAAGTGTAGCAGGGAACTAACAATAAGTGCTTTTTTTGGTATTCCCAATCCACTCCCATGAAGCACATGTAATTTTTTTGATCGCCTTTGATGCCAAAATAAACAGCCTGTCTCGTTCCTCAGATGGTCATCGATACCGGAAACGAAAAATTCGATTCACGAAAATTATGAAAACTACTGTTTTGTTATTATTCACTCTCAACGTTGCAGGTGCTGGCCCATGGTTTATGCGCCCCTCATGGAAACCTATAAAGAGGGAGTACGATCTACCCTTCTATGCAAGTCGATTCACGCAATCTGGAGATTTTGACAGTCTTCTTTGATGAGCATTTTATGGCGATGGAGGAGAGGACAGGAGACTATTTATTTGTGCATTTGTATTCTGTCAAGTTTTCGCATTCTTTTCTTTGTTTCAACTGTTTTGATATCGCCATTTTGAGCGCAGATCTCATTTCAAAGATTTTTCCAAAACAAGAGTTCGTGCAATAAAGTAAGACGAATTGCTGGCATTGTCAACATTATTACTCATGTGAATTTCCGAAAGCCTGCAGGTACTGTTTACGAAGTCACTCATTCACTTACATGCTTTTAGAACGATGAGTCCGTGGCGTACTACGGGTCTGAGTTTGGTAGACGGGCCAAATCCAAAAAAATTGTAAAAACCCAATCTCGAAATGAGCAATAGAGTAAAGTAAAGTATAAAAAACACTGAAGACATAAGAATTTACGTTTCCTGTAGCTTTTGGTATTCGTATATAAACCTGGCATCCAATCACAGCATGACACTTACGAGTTGGTTGAACAGAATGATGAGCTTGTGAATGGATTACGCAAAATGAAGAGAGAAGGCCCATGCCTAATAAAATAGATAATCGATGTGAAAACAGCTGCTTTTTAGCTCCTTAAAGTTAATAAAATCTATGATCTACAGTACAATTCCAGGGCTACCGTGATTGCGAACTTCGAAGAAAACTTGCCCCCACTGTACGACTTTCAAGCCCTAGCGGGTATTTGAGTTGAATGGAAATCACACCTGTGCAGGAACAACGTCCTTTTTTTACTGCAAAAATTCAAAATGAAGCAAAGGGAAGACAATTTCAAATGAATGTCATTTATTTCTTCATTCACAACTTTATTTGATGCAACTTGCAAAAAAGGAGAACAATAAAATGTGGAGCATTTCCCATAATGTAAAAGCCACATTTCTTAAGTGGTCAGGGTGATTCAAAGAATAAGGCGTCTGACTTCTTATCAGAAGATTGTCGTTTCGATCCCGGCCGTGGGCTGAGTTTTGCAGTTGTGCATTAGTGATGGAGAAAAGTGAGGCACATAGGAAGATGAAGGTGGATTGTCTCCAGTTAAGTTACAAACCACCACTCTTTGACAGCCCGCGTGGCCTAATGGATAAGGCGTCTGACTTCTAATCAGAAGATTGTCGGTTCGATCCCGGCCGTGGGCTGAGTTTTGCAATTGTGCATTAGTGATGGAGAAAAGTGAGGCACGTAGGAAGATGAAGGTGGATTGTCTCCGGTTGAGTTACAAACCACCACTCTTTGACAGCCCGCGTGGCCTAATGGATAAGGCGTCTGACTTCTAATCAGAAGATTGTCGGTTCGATCCCGGCCGTGGGCTGAGTTTTGCAATTGTGCATTAGGGATGGAGAAAAGTGAGGCACATAGGAAGATGAAGGTGGATTGTCTCCGGTTAAGTTACAAACCACCACTCTTTGACAGCCCGCGTGGCCTAATGGATAAGGCGTCTGACTTCTAATCAGAAGATTGTCGGTTCGATCCCGGCCGTGGGCTGAGTTTTGCAATTGTGCATTAGTGATGGAGAAAAGTGAGGCACATAGGAAGATGAAGGTGGATTGTCTTCGGTTAAGTTACAAACCACCACTCTTTGACAGCCCGCGTGGCCTAATGGATAAGGCGTCTGACTTCTAATCAGAAGATTGTCGGTTCGATCCCGGCCGTGGGCTGAGTTTTGCAATTGTGCATTAGTGATGGAGAAAAGTGAGGCACGTAGGAAGATGAAGGTGGATTGTCTCCGGTTGAGTTACAAACCACCACTCTTTGACAGCCCGCGTGGCCTAATGGATAAGGCGTCTGACTTCTAATCAGAAGATTGTCGGTTCGATCCCGGCCGTGGGCTGAGTTTTGCAATTGTGCATTAGGGATGGAGAAAAGTGAGGCACATAGGAAGATGAAGGTGGATTGTCTCCGGTTAAGTTACAAACCACCACTCTTTGACAGCCCGCGTGGCCTAATGGATAAGGCGTCTGACTTCTAATCAGAAGATTGTCGGTTCGATCCCGGCCGTGGGCTGAGTTTTGCAATTGTGCATTAGTGATGGAGAAAAGTGAGGCACATAGGAAGATGAAGGTGGATTGTCTTCGGTTAAGTTACAAACCACCACTCTTTGACAGCCCGCGTGGCCTAATGGATAAGGCGTCTGACTTCTAATCAGAAGATTGTCGGTTCGATCCCGGCCGTGGGCTGAGTTTTGCAATTGTGTATTAGGGATGGAGAAAAGTGAGGCACATAGGAAGATGAAGGCGGATTGTCTCCGGTTAAGTTACAAACCACCACTCTTTGACAGCCCGCGTGGCCTAATGGATAAGGCGTCTGACTTCTAATCAGAAGATTGTCGGTTCGATCCCGGCCGTGGGCTGAGTTTTGCAATTGTGCATTAGGGATGGAGAAAAGTGAGGCACATAGGAAGATGAAGGTGGATTGTCTCCGGTTAAGTTACAAACCACCACTCTTTGACAGCCCGCGTGGCCTAATGGATAAGGCGTCTGACTTCTAATCAGAAGATTGTCGGTTCGATCCCGGCCGTGGGCTGAGTTTTGCAATTGTGCATTAGGGATGGAGAAAAGTGAGGCACATAGGAAGATGAAGGTGGATTGTCTCCGGTTAAGTTACAAACCACCACTCTTTGACAGCCCGCGTGGCCTAATGGATAAGGCGTCTGACTTCTAATCAGAAGATTGTCGGTTCGATCCCGGCCGTGGGCTGAGTTTTGCAATTGTGCATTAGGGATGGAGAAAAGTGAGGCACATAGGAAGATGAAGGTGGATTGTCTCCGGTTAAGTTACAAACCACCACTCTTTGACAGCCCGCGTGGCCTAATGGATAAGGCGTCTGACTTCTAATCAGAAGATTGTCGGTTTGATCCCGGGCGTGGGCTGAGTTTTGCAATTGTGCATTAGTGATGGAGAAAAGTGAGGCACATAGGAAGATGAAGGCGGATTGTCTCCGGTTAAGTTACAAACCATCACTCTTTGAAAGCCCGCGTGGCCTAATGGATAAGGCGTCTGACTTCTAATCAGAAGATTGTCGGTTCGATCCCGACCGTGGGCTGAGTTTTGCAATTGTGCATTAGTGATGGAGAAAAGTGAGGCACGTAGGAAGATGAAGGTGGATTGTCTCCGGTTAAGTTACAAACCACCACTCTTTGACAGCCCGCGTGGCCTAATGGATAAGGCGTCTGACTTCTAATCAGAAGATTGTCGGTTCGATCCCGGCCGTGGGCTGAGTTTTGCAATTGTGCATTAGGGATGGAGAAAAGTGAGGCACATAGGAAGATGAAGGCGGATTGTCTCCGGTTAAGTTACAAACCACCACTCTTTGACAGCCCGCGTGGCCTAATGGATAAAGCGTCTGACTTCTAATCAGAAGATTGTCGGTTCGATCCCGGCCGTGGGCTGAGTTTTGCAATTGTGTATTAGGGATGGAGAAAAGTGAGGCACATAGGAAGATGAAGGCGGATTGTCTCCGGTTAAGTTACAAACCACCACTCTTTGACAGCCCGCGTGGCCTAATGGATAAGGCGTCTGACTTCTAATCAGAAGATTGTCGGTTCGATCCCGGCCGTGGGCTGAGTTCTGCAATTGTGCATTAGGGATGGAGAAAAGTGAGGCACATAGGAAGATGAAGGTGGATTGTCTCCGGTTAAGTTACAAACCACCACTCTTTGACAGCCCGCGTGGCCTAATGGATAAGGCGTCTGACTTCTAATCAGAAGATTGTCGGTTCGATCCCGGCCGTGGGCTGAGTTTTGCAATTGTGCATTAGGGATGGAGAAAAGTGAGGCACATAGGAAGATGAAGGTGGATTGTCTCCGGTTAAGTTACAAACCACCACTCTTTGACAGCCCGCGTGGCCTAATGGATAAGGCGTCTGACTTCTAATCAGAAGATTGTCGGTTCGATCCCGGCCGTGGGCTGAGTTTTGCAATTGTGCATTAGGGATGGAGAAAAGTGAGGCACATAGGAAGATGAAGGTGGATTGTCTCCGGTTAAGTTACAAACCACCACTCTTTGACAGCCCGCGTGGCCTAATGGATAAGGCGTCTGACTTCTAATCAGAAGATTGTCGGTTCGATCCCGGCCGTGGGCTGAGTTTTGCAATTGTGCATTAGGGATGGAGAAAAGTGAGGCACATAGGAAGATGAAGGTGGATTGTCTCCGGTTAAGTTACAAACCACCACTCTTTGACAGCCCGCGTGGCCTAATGGATAAGGCGTCTGACTTCTAATCAGAAGATTGTCGGTTTGATCCCGGGCGTGGGCTGAGTTTTGCAATTGTGCATTAGTGATGGAGAAAAGTGAGGCACATAGGAAGATGAAGGCGGATTGTCTCCGGTTAAGTTACAAACCATCACTCTTTGAAAGCCCGCGTGGCCTAATGGATAAGGCGTCTGACTTCTAATCAGAAGATTGTCGGTTCGATCCCGACCGTGGGCTGAGTTTTGCAATTGTGCATTAGTGATGGAGAAAAGTGAGGCACGTAGGAAGATGAAGGTGGATTGTCTCCGGTTAAGTTACAAACCACCACTCTTTGACAGCCCGCGTGGCCTAATGGATAAAGCGTCTGACTTCTAATCAGAAGATTGTCGGTTCGATCCCGGCCGTGGGCTGAGTTTTGCAATTGTGCATTAGGGATGGAGAAAAGTGAGGCACATAGGAAGATGAAGGCGGATTGTCTCCGGTTAAGTTACAAACCACCACTCTTTGACAGCCCGCGTGGCCTAATGGATAAAGCGTCTGACTTCTAATCAGAAGATTGTCGGTTCGATCCCGGCCGTGGGCTGAGTTTTGCAATTGTGTATTAGGGATGGAGAAAAGTGAGGCACATAGGAAGATGAAGGCGGATTGTCTCCGGTTAAGTTACAAACCACCACTCTTTGACAGCCCGCGTGGCCTAATGGATAAGGCGTCTGACTTCTAATCAGAAGATTGTCGGTTCGATCCCGGCCGTGGGCTGAGTTCTGCAATTGTGCATTAGGGATGGAGAAAAGTGAGGCACATAGGAAGATGAAGGTGGATTGTCTCCGGTTAAGTTACAAACCACCACTCTTTGACAGCCCGCGTGGCCTAATGGATAAGGCGTCTGACTTCTAATCAGAAGATTGTCGGTTCGATCCCGGCCGTGGGCTGAGTTTTGCAATTGTGCATTAGGGATGGAGAAAAGTGAGGCACAT